GCCAAGAATGCCTGTTTCTTTGACTAGAATCAGCCTTTGTTTCCCGTTATCACCACTCAATGACCAACTGAAAGTTCTGTTATAAAAGTACACAGGAAAACAAAATATTTTTTCATAGTCCAATGTCAGCAGATTCTGGACCCATTAACTTTTAAATCTCTAAACAGTATTCTCCTAAATGCTGAGAATTATTTCATTATGTCACATATAAACAAAGTTACCAAAATTTCCCAAAAGTTTCCAAAATAATTTCTTAGGCTATACTGTTTTCTTTAATATGCAACTGATTTAATGAAAAAGCCACCGTTTTTAAACATAAGAAAGCTGGAAGGGAGAATATTTTCAAATAATGGGAAAAGTGTGAAGAAGTAGTCAATAGCTCTAAATTTTGAAGACACTGAACCTTTTTAAAGGACTGTTCTCTAGTAACCAGATCATGTTTATTTGTGGTTTTCTCTATTTTTGGTTAAAACAAAATGGTTTTGAAATTCCCTGCAGTGACATACCAGCAGTATGTCAAGATGAAAACGCAGAATCAAACTAAGTTGTGCTAAAGTGCACAACTGCCTTCTGTTCACTTTCTATTTTTTAAAATAAATTAGAACCAAAATGCTTACTTCTATTTTTAACTCATGCTCTTAAATCATAAATGTTTATTTTGAAGAATTCATTCCTTTAAATGATCAATTCTATGAAATGACTTATGATCAGATGACTCCTTATCATAGCACAAAATTCACAAATGTTTAACTTCTTAAATATATAAAACTAACTTGCACTCTCAGGACCCAACTGGCTACACAATAAATGAAAACAATGTAATCCTTGTTTCTAGGACTATTCATTGTGACCACAAGTTACATCAAAAACCAGTGAATTCACTGGCATTTTAAATGGGCATTTTAAATCAGGCAATTTCAAAAGCCTGATAAACACTAGAATCTAATCTATATAATATAAAAAATAAACATACATAAACATTAACGCTAATCCTCCTGAATAGATATAACTTGAAGAACAGCATGAATTAAAATGAACCTTCAATGATATCTGAAGACATGAAACATCTTGAGATCACAAGACACACGAAAATTTCTTTGACCAAAAACAGATTCTTTTCCAACAAAGGTCAAAAATTGAAAATGTAGCTTTACAAAGGTGAATGCT